CAATAATAATAATCTTTTGAAACCCACTCTCATGGTTGCACAAATGTTCAGAATGTATTTTTTTTAATTGTACTTACGGCAGTAGCTCAACATATGATGTCACTTATTTCTTGTAAAAAAGTCCATCACAAGACACTGCTGTTTTGCTTTTATCTTGGAATTTGCCATCCTCTTTCTAATTTTCGCCGCAATCCGAATAAGGTTTCAATCATTCCTGTCTGGTTATGAGTGAAAGCATACCGTTCCAATTTCTGTTAACACTGTTTAACTCAGTTGCAAGCACAGTACTGATATATTTAAAATTCCAGTAAAGGGTTCAACAAAAGAATAACTATACATTTTCACTGCATTCCAATGATGTGCTCAGTGTCTCACACCTTCAACCATAAGGTAATACTCAGGTCGAAGGCATTCATAAGTCATAAATTCAAAGCAACAAAATACTAACTGTAAACGTTTCCCATGAAAGCATTGAAGCTAAGTGCATGAACCTGTCCAACTTACAACAAAAGGGGTGACCAAGTTCCAGGATAAAGGGGTGTCCAAGATATAGGGTATTGTGGATATGTAAAATTATAGGATGTCCGCCGGTTCCAATTAAAAGTGTCCAATATAGAGGGGTGTCCAAGCAGAGGGGTTTTACTGTATATCACCACAAAAGGCACAGCTATAAGTTATATGGGCTATGTTGATGCCAGACTCACATTAGTAAACACAACAAACACACGCGAAGGCATCCTCATATTGCATCTGCTTAATATCAATAAGTGAGATAAGGAACTATGTTACATTACTGTCGAACTCGACGAAACATAGATGTAGAAGACACCGAACCACTGGAAACGAGATGAACCAGAAGAATGAAAAGTGTCGCCCGCCTTTCCTTTGTACTTATAATAAAAGCATTTGTGAAGAAATTCACACTGCACATGCCATCTGGCATCGCTGGAGCGAAATATGAGTGCACCCTAATTAAACTCATAAAATTTCTGACAGTGAGCACCGCCATTCACTCCAATTATCACCCCTGTACCGCTGACCCCTCATTCCAAAAGAATGTGTGCTGGTTGGGCGACATAACAGGTTACCGCTACTGTGTATTCCAAAAACATTGTGCCTCTTTCGGTATTAATTTATCTCAAAACCCAGCATTTTAAATTCTAAAAACATCGCATAAATTTCGTTATAATTTCTCAGAAACGATCATTGCTGGAAAATTGTGGGCCAGGACTAAGATTTTTGAACGATCGAAGCGATAAAACGATACTTCGAGGAACGATAGATGCGGGAAAATGTAACATTATTTTATATGGGATGTAACAGGGACCTAACAAAATGGACGATGCATCCGGGAAAACGATAGTTCGGGGAACGATGGATAGAGGTTTCACTGTACTGGAAGCTCTCAGATATAACATATACATAACCACCACGTGTCTGAGCAGAAGATATGAATTAATTATCGATATATTTTTATCAGACTTTGTGTATTAAATTACATTGTAATGATGGAAAAAATTTCACTTATACCATTAACATGAATTATTTGGAGACACTAAGAGTTTTTACAGTCCTGTTCTTACACTTGTACTGTTTGTTCCGGTATCTTGCTACAGTTTGCCATTGTTGGGACATGATTTTGTGTTCTTTAAAAATATCAGTAATTAACTTTCTGATTCTATAAAAGTCAGGGAATTTCTTGACTAGCTGATTGATTGTTAGCTACTCAAGGACTCTGCTTCATGGATTTAGTTAATTACAGTAAAGTAAAAATTTATTTGGATGATAATGGCACTAAAAATGTGTGTAAATACATGGAACATTTATGTTATATGTGGTAAAGGGATTAGATTTTTCATTTTTATTTGCAGATTCTTCACTTGGAACATACCAGTCCAGTGAAGAAATCAGAGAAACCTCTCAAATTAAGGACCAAGATACGCAAGATACTCTGAAGTCAGAAGTAATCTTGTTGGACAACGAATCTACAAACATGGAGAATGACAGTGATGTGTTTCATAGTCTGGAGAACAGTGCCCACAGTTATAATAATTCAGTAGTAGACTTTGAAGTTGTTTGCAATGAGTCTCCTCTTAAGAAGCAGCAAATTGGTAGACCTGACAAGGAAAGTGAGGAAGTTACTTCAACGCATGTTGACTCTTCAGAAGTAAAGGAACAGGTTATCTCACAGCCCACAACCTGGAAAACAGAATGTAGTCTTCAGAACTGTATTAATGTTCAGGAGGCAAGAGCAGCAGATGCTGTTGAAGCCAGACATATAGTTGAAGAAGAGGAGAACAACTTGGATGCTGTAGTACAGAAAATACATGAGAAAAATGGAAAGTCTGTTGGTACTGCTGAAGTAGATGTGGGAGTAACAGAAGAGTCAGTTACTGTATCTGTAGCAGAAAGTAAGTATTCTGAAGTCTGAAAATTTGATGCTGATATGACAATATGCCACAAGACTAACAGCTACAAGGCATTAAAAGGTTTACCCATGCTTCACTGCTTTAATAATGGCCCTGTTGAAGACCTTGTTTATACTTCCCATTTCATATGAAAAACAATGATCACATTCATCATATCAGACCTCAATCTCTGGGATAATGGCATTGATTTTTAAATGATTTCTTTTTAAATTCTAGTCTCTGGTTTCTTTTTATTTTTTCCCCCAAGAATGTTTTATTTCTATTTCTGCCCTATGGGTTCCTCTCTTCCTTCTGCTCTTCCAACCACCTCTTTTAGAGGCAGATGGTTGTCAGTAACAGGATCTATTTTGAGACTGTTTCTATTCATCTCTACACTTGGATCCAACAAGAATTTACCACCATCCAGTGGTCATTTGCTATGGACAAAAGGACTAGATCTACTATTATTCACTCTAATCTCCCAAAAATATTGGTTCCTTGGCCCATCCCAACAATGTTATGATTCTAAAATGGAAATATGGGTATGATTTATTATTTTAGTTGACCATGTTTTACTCAGAATTTACAGATGTAATGTACTGTATAATTGTTTTCAGTTCAGAGAATTCTGACAAAAGTTTATCAGAATGATCATTAAGTTATGTCATGTTTCCTTTGTCTGTTTTATGAGAAATTGAGGCATATGTAAAGTAGACAACACAACTTCTTCATCATTCATGTTCCAGGTGAGTGCAAGAACGAATCTCAGTCCAATACAGAGGAGGTCCTGGAAGAAGAGAAAAAAGATGTTGCAATCCTGCTGGATACCACCACCTATGCTGGGTCTTCATTTGAAATATCCAAAGATATGGAGCAAGAGGAAGAGGAAGAGGCTGTAACAGATGGTGTGACTTTCAGTTTATCAGATGGTGATGGCGTATTCGGTGTAAATACAGGTAGGCTGGTGTGCATGTATGAAAAGTATTGTAGTAAAAACAAAACATTCCAGGTTTATTTTTAAGATTGGTTTGAATCACTGTATATGTGTGTGTATAAGTTTGTGTCTCATCTAGGACAACAACTTCACTCATATTACAATCAATAAATTTTCTAACTTTAATGTAAAGGTTTGTGTCAGTGGTGTGTGATTACAATTTCAGTGGCATAGTTACTAACTCTATCAGTTGGACCCAACAGAGTAGGTTTTACCTGATGGTGGAGACAGATTACAGTCTCTGAAACATTGCTTTTTTAAACTAAATTAGGACAATTAATAATGTCATGCAGTTTGTCATTCTAACTTCCTCCTGCATACATCAAGCATTCACACAATAGCACAATATTAGCAGTAAATCTATTAGGTCATTTCCCAGGATGTACTCTGAATGTGAAGTAAGACTGTTATCACTAAAGTGCTTTGTTTACATCTACAGGGTCAGATATTGGACCATGTAACATCCTAGAATCAGAGGCCAAGAAAATGCCGACTTTGGTAATTGAGTCTGTCATTGGGAGCGTGGAGGGTTTTGCAAGCTCTGAAGAACTGAAGGAGTACCAAACCCTTCAGCCAGTGATAGTTGAATCTGAAAATGTGCTTGAAGCGATAGAAGAATCTGTTAATGAGATTGATGATGCAGTGTATGTATCTGATGAGGTTCCTGATCTTGCCACACAGGACAAAGAACATGAGGCCACCACAGACAGTTTCAAGGAGGAGAGTGAACCAGGTGAGTAGATGTTTCAGAGTGGCTATCTACCAATATCTGTTAGCAAACAGGTGATTGAGAGTAAAATAATGTTGAAAACAGAGAGAATGTAAAGTATTATAACCTCAGTGCTCTTATAAATTGTTTGGTATTTCTGCTTTTCCATATTTTAAATGTTGAGATTTTGATGTAATATTCAATTCTGCTGCACATAAATCTTGTAATTCTTTCTGTCAGTCTATAAATAAGTGCTTTAGTTGTGAAGAGTTATAAAGCAATGCTTACTGATTTTCACCATCATGTCTCATTTGTCGCAGTCATTGATTTTTGTTCAGTTTGTAATAAGTGCCAGTCAATTCAGCCATTTCTAATAACTATTCTTTGTCAAGGTCAATAAATTGGTCAAAAGTATTTGATATTATCACAACTTAGTTTCTTTGTCTATCAAATAAAGATGAAAACATACAGTACTTTACTAAATTTGGCCTCACCGTCTATTTCAAGGGGAGTAGTCAAAAGAAAGTAGATAAGGCAAATACAACCCAGAAGTCCCTGTTTGTTTTCAAGGTCTTACTAACTTTACAGAGGAAGATGATTTTATGAGACCCAAGCTACTTGCTGCTGAAATTGATGATGAGGTGGATTTTGAGGAAGAAGAGGTCATTGAGTGTGAGGAGGAAAATGAAGAAGAAGAGACAGAGAATGAAGATTTGGAAGCTGAAGAGGTAATCATGTTAAATTGTTGGTTGTACTGAAGACTTGCATTCAGTTCTGTGTGTTGAAGTTATTGGATGGAGAATATTGAGGCTAATATGCCAAAATTGTTCCGCTATTTATACATTTCTTATCTTGTCTTCTATAGCTCTCAGTATATATAATTTTTTAAGCTTTCTTGCACATTACTTTAATATTAATCCCATTACCGGCGGCGGCTCCAGGCGGGCTCGCGCCCTGACCCTTCCGCACACATTTACAAGAGTACCATTGGCATTACATGCATGGAGCATACTAATTTACCTGTTATGTTTTGTACCACCATGGCAAGAATCTCCTCGAAAGGTGTGCATTTTACTCAGTTGTAGATTGAAAAATAGGCCTGTCTTGTCATTGTTATGTTGCAGAGGTCATAACCTTGATCTCTTGAACTAGTCTGTCAATTTAATGGTCATTATTTGTTTCTGGATCAACAGATCCATCTACCCCAAAAAATGCCACACTCCTGTAGCACATTCACTTTGCAAATATTATTGAGGGAACTGTTATGTGTTGAAAGGCTATGAACTTGAAATGAACTTCATCTTCATCTGACATGATTTGCTTCATAGCAAACCTGTCATCCAGCACCTGTGACATCTAAGAAGATATGAAATTTCATACAACTTGAAAAGTGTAAATAAACATTTGAAAATTGTCTCTCAACATTGTCTGAAGGAATATGACAGTTCATTTGTTGAACTGTAAGGACTGTTAAACAGCCTTACATATAAGTTGGACATATGAACACATCTGTGTTGTTCTGTAGGTGTGGGTTATTCATTGGTGGTTTCACAATATCTCTTGGCATATGCGAGTATTGTGTTCTTTGAGGACATTTGTTAACATTGTAAATAATCTGAATATTCAAACTGGACCTCAAGTACAGCTTCGTGATCCCTCTTATTTTGGTATTTGTGCACTTCCCGATCATAACAAATCTTACAAGTCTTTTATAATATTAAGCAATATGAATATGAATATTAACAGTTTTTTAATTTTTTTGTTTGTTTAATATAAGTCAGATATTTCATGCCCACTGTGTATATAATTTGTGCAGTTGGCACAATATTGTTAAGCAAAGGTCATGACTAAATAGCACAAAATTTAGCCCTTTCCTTTTTGGCTATTTGCAGATTGTTGTGTGTTTTTGAATTTTTTTAAAATTAATTTGTTGCATTGGACACAGGATGACCTGGCTGAAGAAAAGGAGTTTGAACCAGAGGTTCTTCATCATCCACCAAGTGATGATGAAGAAAGTATTGTCATCCTGGACTCTGACACAGAAGATGAAAGGGTGTGTATCTAAGTAGAGAAAAATTGTTGTTGGGACTTTCACTTCACAAATAATAAATGTGTTGTTCAACTCATTCATAAGTTCACAAAATGTATATTTCGTAATTATTTCTGTAGACTGTTAATCTAGTTAAGCGCTGCTTCATTCTTATAAGTTTTGCATGTAACTGTGTACACACTAGTTACTGAACATGGGTATGTGAATGATTGACTGTTTATGTTGTCTAGATTGAACCAAGCAAGGCAAGTGCTGTAGGAGGCAAGCACAAAGCTGGGGACTTTACCATTACAAACAGTAGTGATGAAGAAGGTTTTATGGAAGAAGAGGAGGAGGAAGATGATTATGAAACCAGCTCCAAGTTTGACTCTGATGAAGAGGAAAGTGAAGATAGTGAAGAAACCAGCTCTGAATTTGATTCAGATGAAGGGAAGGAAGAGGATAATGAAGAAACCATGTCAAAGTTTGACTCTGGTTCTGAAATGGAGCATGTGTTGGATGCAGATGCTGTAACTACTGTTGAACCAAAAGTAAATGTTGAAGTTTCTACCTCTGATGATGATGATGTTATTGAGAAAGGTGGTTGTTATAAAAATCCTACTGAAGTTCTGGCAATTTCTATTGATGATGTGTTGAAGGGTAACGAACCACTTGTTAAAGACACAGTAGAAAAGGAACCAATGGACTTTGAAACTTGCATCACTGCTAATGAAATCAGTAAGTATGGTCAAAGGCAAGTTTCTGAGGTGATGGACATCGATTTTCCATGTAAAGAGGATAGTGATGGTAGCAAAATTCTATTAATCGGTGATCATATGATGGATTTTGAAGTAGAATTAACTGCCACTCAAATATCAAAACCAAAGCAAACAGAGGATAAAATTGATTGTAATACACAAATATCTGTGGTCAATCAAGTAAAGTTAAGTGAAATGAAGGAAGAGAATATCACAGTTTCTGAAACTTCAGAAATGCCTGTTCGAAATGGAAGGGGGGGTGGGGAGGAATGTGATTTGGAATTAGTAGAGAAGAAAGAGAAAATTGATATGGAGAAGTTGACACAGAGGAGTGGGGATGTCATCACACATCTGTTACACACGAAGGACATCCCCAAGTCTTTGCAAGAGGATGGTGTTAATGTAATGGATATTCCTATAAAAGAGAATGATGCATTGCCTAAAATGACAGTTGTTTCTATTGCTAGTAATGTGACTGTTCAACAAGTGAGTGAAGAATTGAATATGATAAGATGTGAAATAAAAGCAAGGAAAAGTTCTGAAAGTAGCTCTCCTTCTGTTGAGAAGCTTCAGCCAAGCATTGACCAGGAAGAGAGAAGTCACGGTGTGAAACCTCAGAAGACAAGCAGCAGGGCCATCGAGGAGGTTGATTATATTAAAGTAAATGCAGAAACCCAGATGGATTCCCTTGATATAAGAGTCTCTGAGCAAACGGACAGAGAAGATTCAATGCAGAGAGATATTGAGGTGATTGATGATGAATCTTATGGTATGAAAGCTCATGAATCTAACAGTATAGCAGATGCAGGTCAGCAGGAGGACATCCTGTCTGACGAGACAAAATCTCATGGAAGAAAAGTCTCCAAACCTATCAGCAGAGCATGTTCTGTTCAGCGTAAGGATGCTCCTTCAAATGAAATTGAAACTTGTGAAAGAAAAGTCCACAAAACTAGCAGCAAGGTTAGTTCTGTTCAACGTGAAGATGCTCCTGTAGATGAAATTGAAAACTGTGAAACAAAAGTCCGAAAACCTAGCAGCAGAGCAAGTTCTGTTCAGCGTGAGGCTGTTCCTTCAGT